TTATTTATGTAATAGATTAAGTTAATAACAGCAAATATGTTCTTGGAAATGATCTGGTAGAGGGTGAAAAATGATAATGAAGTACAGAGAGAGAAGTGTTAAAGTGATTCCGCAAGTAGATGGGTTCTATGGTTTGAATGCTTGTGTCCCTCCAAAATTCATGTTGAAACTTAATCCTTAATGCAAGAGAATTAAGATGTGGACACTTTAGGAGGTGATTAGCTCATGAGGCCTCCAGCCTCATGAATGGCATTAGTGCCCTTAACATGGGCTTGAGGGAACCAGTTGGGCCCTTTCTGCCCTTCTGACTTGTAAAGACATGAGAAGGCACCATATACAAGGAACAGGCTCTCACCAGACACTTAATCTGCTGGCACCTTGATCTTGAACTTCGCAGCCTCTAGAACTGGAAGCAGCACGTTCCTGTTCTTTAATACCCAGTCTAAGGCATTTGGTTATAGCAGCCCAAATGGACGAAGACAATAACGAGTGGGATCTGGTGCATAAACGGAGGCATCGGCCTGAAATAGCAGCAAGGATAGCTCACCTGTGGTAATAAGGGAGGAGGCAGACACGGAAGAGGTGATGTGTGGAGGAGTCTGTGAAGTCTCTACTTCTCAGAGTTGTATGAAGCAAGGTCAGCTGCTTGTTAGGATGGAGTGTAAAATGTTCAAAGTTTGAGGGGAGAAGTGAGTTGGGAAGTGAATGGACTATGAAAATAGCTGAGAGAGTTGGGACGTGAAGGGACTATGGAAATGTACTAAGGTCTGCCAGAGTTTTGTTGTCACAGATGTAATGTAATTCCAGTTAGACTGGCTGTGTGTATGGAGGGTAATCTGGTGGAGAAAGCTGTGAACCCGGTTTCAGTCTCTCACTACTTTCAACTGTCCCTTTCCCCCACTTATACCACTCTGCGTTGCTCTTGAAGGTCTTCTCTTGAACAAACTACAGAAAACAGCATCGCAACAAAGTGGAGGCTGCAGTTCAGAACCAGTGCCCTGGGGCAACATGGAATAATCTTGAATTGCGAGGGAAACACAGCGGCATCTATTGGACACTTCACAAACTACAAGCTCGAGGGAGTTCAGGGTTTTATTATCAGATGGTGCTACATTCCTTTCCATTACATAATTTCTTTGTCAAGCTGAGTTTTCAGCCATTGCTGAAGTAAAAGCAAGTACTGCACAAACACCCATTTGATTCCAAAGTTTGAGGAGTTGTTTCGTGCCCGGTAGGCACAGACATCCCATTTAGCAATTGCGATTATTTAAGAATAAATTTTTTAAAAATTTTAATGTATGTGTATTTTTTAACACAACTATTAAGTTTACGATATAAATAATTAAGTTTTTTTTAGAACTAAGATACGTAATATACAATTTTTAGCTATTTATCTTGACCTAGAAGTGCAATAGAAAAATTAGAGGCACTAAGAGCACCATTAACTGAGAAACTCTGGGTACCTCTGACTTAAAAAATTCCTGCTTCTGTCTCTACTTCTTCCAAGTAGTGGCTCAAGGACCTTGAGGGGTGTAGTTGAGTGCAACAGAACTAGGAAATTCTCAAATCTGAATTTAAACCTCACGGGGGTTTAGTTTATGACAAACTCTCTGTCCACCCTATCCCAAGTTCCCTCTTTTCCTTAAAACTTGAGCCTGAATATCTCTCCCTAGTTATAATGGCATATGGCTACACCATAACCAGGTTATATTTTGTGTATTTAAAGCCAAGAGCAAACATGTGCCTCCTGGCTTCCATAACCCCCCCTGTCCTCCCATCCGTCCCCCAGAGTCTTGTGTTTCCAAAAGAAGCCTGACCATGTGGGTCACCAAAGACTTGACTTGGACTTTCATCTTTTTGTCAACATCCATTCCAAATGAGTAATTCTTAATAGATGGCTTAGGCCAAATAATTGTGGCCACAAGCTTTTCTTTGACGGTAGAGATAGCAGTAATACATACATGTGTGTTGGGGAAATGAGATGCCACCAAGCTGTGTTTATGTATGTGTGTGTGTGTCTTTGTGTGCTATGGGCCTGACCTGACACTGAATTTTGCAAGACAAGATTGTGCTTTGTTAAGTCAGCATGGAGGCACGTGCCTATAATCCCAGCTACTCAGCTTGAGCCCAGGTGTCTGAGATCAGCCTGGGCAACATAGTTAGACTCAGTCTCCCAAAAAAAAAGTTTAAAAAATGATAAATGCTTGAGGTGACGAATACCTCAGTTACCTTGATTATTATACATTGTATGCTTGTATCAAAATATCCCATGTACCCCATAAATATGTAATATAATTATGCATCCATAATAATTTAAAATATATTTTTATTTTATTTTATTTTTTGAGTTGGAGTCTCACTCTGTCGCCCAGACTGGAGTGCAGTGGCCGCTCCCGGCCACCGCAGCCTCGACCTGCTGGGCTCTGGCGATCCTTCCGCCTCAGCCTTCCGAGTAGCCGGAATTACAGACGCGCACTACCACACCCGGCTGATTTTGATTTATTGTAGAGATAAGCTCTCGCCTGCCCAGGCGGGTCTCGAACCCGCGGGCTCAGGCAATCCACTCACCTCAGCCTCCCAAAGGCGCGCTGATTGTAGGCTGAGCCACCATATCCATCTAAAATATATTTTTAAAATGATTGTTTTGTTGACTTTTGTTAGCTCCGGTACCCAAGAATTGATATATAGTAAATGCTAAATACATGTTGCTAAAATTTGGAAATTAATAAGTGGATATTATCCGCATAAGCAGATATACTATAAAAGCTAAAGAAGTTCAAGCTTTGGAACCCCAAAGATTTGTAAAAGTAAGATATTTTCACGGCAATTAGTAAAACATATTATTTTTTTCCACTTTGCTTTGCCCTTGACATCAACCTCATGCCAGTGAGACTGGAGAGGCTGCTAACACTTTTGGAAAAGTTGAGTCCGCATGCATTCAGACTGAGTTTAGTGAGCTACACAGTTAGGTGATTGACACTCACTTTTCTATATAGGTATGCTGCCATCCCAGTGTAGAAATACCTTCCAGGAATTCTCCAAGTGGTGACAGGAGGGTGTAAGGTCAGGAGCTATAGCCTACAGTGTCCAGCACCAAAGGAATGTGCATAATAGAGGAGAAACGAGGCTTGATTGTACAGTGTAAGAAACTGGTCATTGGAAAAGATTTCATGCATCAAGTGCATAAAATTATAAGTCAATAAATCTTTCTCTACAACATCTAGTCAAAAAGGATATTCTTTTCTGATAGGAAATTCTCAAAAAAGCAGAGCAAACACTACACACTACGCATTGCACAATATAGAGTTCATCAGAATTTCTGTGTTTGTGTGGTATAAATCCCTACCAGTACTACAAACAGCAAGGACATCTGTGTGTGAAGTCACACATTTTATACACCTTTTTGACTTGCAACTTACCATATCTGATGTAAACAGTTTTGATGAAGACTAGTGGTTCCTGATGAAATGGTATGCAAAATTACTAGAGTCAGAAAAAGTGCTGAATTTTCTAAATTGCCAATAAATAAAATATTTCACTCGACCACTAGAAAATTGGATTGCTTTTGATCTTTGTATGAGAACATTATAAAATTGCTTTATGAAGAGGTGGTCAAAAGGTGTGCAGCCAAAAAATAGAAAAGTGTATTAAGCAGTTAATTAAAATGTTATTTTCCTGAATTTTTTGTTTTTATTTTGATCAGTTTTATAAAAATTGAAGTGTGTGATTTCTTTCTGACCCCAAATGAATAAACACTTTCATAGCTAAATCTGGTATCACATTTGTTAACTTTTTTTATTTTGACAAGTAGACATTTTGTCTTCGTGATTTTTTATAATTTATGATAAGAAATATAGCTATTTCTAACAGTGTTAATTTGCGTTGCCGGAAATGACAGGCAATTTTCTGAAGCAATCGATACATTTTATTTTAAATGCTGCAACACCATGTAACCTATTTGAATCTTTTAAGGAACAGTTATGAATCAAAAGATAAATTATTTCTACCTTCCATGCGAACACTATCAGCAATATGAAGATTATGTGAAACTCCACAGAACAGAAACCTAGTTTTCTCAATTTGAGAAGTTATAAGGAAATACGCGATGGAAGGGGAAACCTAGAGATGAAAAGAGACTTAAAAGTCCTAGCATAATGTGTGACTTTGTTTATATCCTAATTAAAACCATTTTTAAAATGATATTCACAAGATAATTAGACCTGATATGACTGAATGATGATATTAAGAAATTACTGCTTTTTTTAGATTGTGATAATGGTACTATGGATGTGTTAAAAAACCATTCTTATGGAAATCATGATACAATATTGATAAGATCAAACTATATATCTAGGATTTGTTTTAAAATATAGTGGAGGAGAAGTGAATGGGAAGTGGATAAGGCAGGTTTGGCTATAGGTTGAAAGTTTGGGGTCTTGTTAATGGATCAAGAGAGGGCCATCCTTCCATCTTTGTGTGTGTTCAACATTTTCATCATAAAAAGTATTAAAATATTCAATCTGGTTGTCAATGGACATAAGCCAATGGACATAACTCAGGACTTATCCACGTGTGTCGTGGCATTTGACACTGTTGAATCCTCACTGCCACCAGAAACTCTCTTCCCTGAGTTTCTATGCTCTTGCTTTCCTAACTCTCTAGATAGTCTTCATCTCATTGATAGGCCACATGTCCTCCTACTTACCCTTCAGTCGTTGGCATAGGGTAGAAAGAGCGCTTCTGAGTCTACGGACTTCTCCCAGCATTCCGAGGAAGCAGCTTAAACTAAAGGAGCGCTCACACACGATGGGGCAAAACCCAAGTCCCCTGCTTTTCCATCCTAGCCTCCCAGAACAACTGCAAAAGTCGACTGCAGAAATAAAATGTATCGGCTTAGCAAACACTTCGCTTGGAAACCATTTGACATTATATTATTTTATTTTTCACAGAATACAATGGCAACCCGCTTTCTAATTCAGAGGTGCCTAGATACGGTGATATCAACTGTGATGATCTGTAGGAAAGAACTTTGAGAGTGACTCCAACACCTTTTTGGACAAACTCCATACAGTCCAAGAACTTGAAATGTTTGCCACTAAGGGGACTCGAAAGTTTCTCTTCCTTAAGGTGTCAGGGGGAATCACCCAACGAATGGTTTGGGGTATAATGTCCAGTGAATCTGCCGGCACACAGGCAAAAAAAAATGGCTGGTTTTGTTCTTTTTCAGAATGAAAGTTGATCTTCTCCTGAGGAGGTATGGATGCTGATTTATGCCTGTTGTGGAAATAATCCGATCTTTCTGGCTCATGATAATAGACTCTCTTCTTCCTTGCACATTTCTCTTCACTGTGTGTATGACTGTAATCATGGTCCCAATGAATGTTCTTCCTAAATACATCACATTTGGCCTTCTTCCTCTCTTTGCTTTTTGGGTGCATGTGAGACTTGCCTTGGATTTTTGCAAGATGTAATTTAATATTTGCTTCCGTTAAAGGAGCTAAAGGGTAACTTGTTTTGTTCCTTGTCGCCTGAGAATGTTTCTCTTTACTGGATGATACAGTAGATGATTTAGGCTGAATTTCTACACTATTTAATGACACAGCGTTCAATGAACTATGACACAAACAGTCAGGATGCTTTATTTTGGAGGATGATCTACATTTCCTTCTTCTGCAGGATTTATATGAAGGTGATGCCATCATTAAGGTATGTTTTCTACAGTCTCTGATTTGATGGGAACTGGAATCATCATTATAAAATGGTTTCAAACCAGTTGTGATTTCGTTCATTTTGCCGAGATTTTTTAAAGGAATGCCTTTCTGTCCTTTGTATAGAATGTTTTGTGATTCCTCACTTAAATATGAATTGGTTTCTAAAAACATACATTCCTCACTCTCACTTACTTCAAAAGCTGGACATTTCTCTAAATTAGCTGTACTTTCAATCTTTTTCTGAGTATCAGTAAAATCTTCAGAAATTTGAGTTTTATGTGAATCAGCCACATTGTTAGCATGGCTCTGAGTCCTTAAATCAAAAGATTTTTGTGTATTTGTTTCTTGAAACCATACGTGATATTGCCTATCCTTTTCTGGAGTCACAGGAGATTTTAACTCTGAAAGATCTTTAGTATCTTTCTGTATTGCGCTGTGAGAAGCATTGTGGGTTGGCTCCATGAGTTTTCTGAAGAGTGGTGAGTTTTCATGAGGACTTAGTTTTTTGAAAGAAATATGCTGTTCTAACAGTTCTGTGTCAATGGAAAGACACGTTTTTCCACCATCATCTATTTTTTTAGATGTTGCAATTGTGTTTACTTTAAGCATATCCTTGGGAAATCCATTTGGCTTAGGAAGCATATTTTCAGCAGGAAGCCCCAGGAGAAAACGAAGGTATTTGTATTGTAAATCAAGATCTATTTGATGAAGAGTTTTTTCATCAAAAAATAACATAACTCTATTTTTTTGTTTTGGCGCTTTGGTAGCAGAATGAATACAGTTAAATAAAGGTTCTTTTCTATGCTGAGCACTGACCATTGCATAAGATTCTTCTACAATTCTGGGAAAGGCTTTCATTTTTATCTCTAATATTTTCACAGAAAAGTGCATGAGAAGTTTGGCTTTTTCTTCTACTGAGTAGTTTTGAAGACAGTGAGGCGGTGGCATCTCAGCAGCAGAAGTCACTGAATACATCCCATTTTCTAGTTTATTAATACTTTTAAACTTTGTTATGGTCTCCTTGCTACTTCTTGAAACATTAATTGATGTCTTCATACAGTTGATAGGAGATGAATCTTTCTGGTATTTATGTTTTAAGTTAAGTTCTATAGTATCAATCCCTTCTAGAGACCAGGCATTCATTTTTTTATGTCTTGGATAGAACCTCGCACTGTTAAAAGCTGAAATAGTCCCTTTTGGATAAAAGTTGAACTTTTGTAAGGATTTTTTTGCCATCTCTGGTATTAGATTCAGTTGTATATCAAGTGCTTTTGACTCTAAATGATTGGTAAGCTTATGTTTTTCTTTGGGAGTAAACTCTTCTAAAAGGGGTTTGTGCTGCAATTTGGGATGCATTGCTGCTGACGTTGTACCTGGACCCTCTGGAAAAGGTGGTGACTTCAAGTTTATAGGTTTACAGGTTTGTACTTTTTCCAGTTTATCAGAAGAAACTTTGTTTTGGGTCATATTTTTTACCTGGGATTCAGATACATTTTTAATTCCTTCATAAATAGGAAGGAAACATTCTACACACGTATCGCCTGCAGCAATTTTGATTTCACTACTTTTACCTTGAGGTGGTATGGGCATAGTTCCTGGCAAATCTTTTGGCTGCTGGACCTCTTGTGTGCTCATGTCCCGCACTGGTTCACTCTGATCCCTTTGCTTGGGTTGCTTTGGATCTTCAAACAGAGATGGACACTCTGTGGGTGTCAGGACGTGTATTGGTAACTTCTCTTCTTGCTCGGTTATATGCAAGTCTGGTTTTTTAATACTCCTTGACTCATCATGCCTCGGAGCACCTCCTTCTTTTGTCTGTGAATTAAAATTTTCTTTACTTGTTTCACTTCTGAAGTTTGCTTCTGATTTGACATTAGGAGGCTTCCACATTTGTTCTTCATCTACTATGTATAGCTGGGAGTCTTGTGGAACTGTGTTTGTAAAATTCTGTTCCTCCTTTACAATTGTTAAGGTGTCCTTCTTAACAATTTCACCGATTTTTGGTGATTTCTCCTGGGATTTAGAAAGACTGATTCCCTTTTTCCTTTCTATGTTTATCTCAGATTCTGCTGTTTCTTTAATGTGAGGTGGGTGCACCATGGAAATAGTAAGACTTCTGAGAAATATTCCTGAGTCATCTTTATCCCATGAAACCATGTCTGTTGATTTGTTAATGTCATATTTTAATTTCTTTCTATTGCTTGGAGTACCATGTCCTATGATACGAAGCATCTGTGAAATTCGGTGATTTGGGGTTTTTATAGTTAAATATTTGGGGCTCAGTTTTCTGTTCAGTTCTCTTGTTGTTAAACTAACTTTTTGGCCTTCAAATTTGGGAGAAAACAGAATAGAGCCATAAAATGAATCCAGAACATTTTTTTGAAACAGTTTTTGTGGTTGAATGTTTTGTTTTGCACCACATGATGCTTCCAGTTCCTTTTTATGTTTGGCTTGATTGTTGTACTCCAACTGAGTGACTACCTGAGTCTTAATTTGAGATTTCTCTGCCTTTAGAGATGGAACAAGCAGGTTTACAGTATTTTGTGTGTCCATTCTTACTTCCTTTTTCTTCAGATTGACAAGACTGTTCTTGTGCATTTCTATAGTGTCCTCTTCCAGATATAAAGTTCTGTTTGTATCTACTTTCAATTCCCCTTCTTTCTGATTCACAGTATTATTGTTGTCCATTTCTAAGTTTTTCTGTTTCAGACTTATATTGGTGTTTGTGTCCGTTTCATCTTTTTTCCCCGGACCTCCTGATTGAACTGGAAATGTCCAGGGAGGGAAAAGAGACATCTGAAGCAATTCTGGAGCATGATCATCTTGTTCAGAGACAAGCAATGTCTGTTCTTTCTTTCCTGGCACAGCATCAAACTCTGTAATAACCATGCATTTTCCTGGTAGTATTTCTTGGCTGGGGTATGCTGTCATTTTCTCGTCTACATCAGTTTCCAGTGGTATCTTCTGCTTTCCACTTGTAAGTTGAACCTTAACAAAAAGGTCAGAGTTCTGTCTGGTCTTGTGTCCACTTTCAGACTGTGGCATCACTTGCTTTTTCATGACAGTATATTGTTCTTCCATGTTTTGGGGAGAATTCCACTTGGTGATGATATTCACTTTTTTGAGTGACCCCTTTGTTTGTGGTACTAACGCTTTGGGAGAAAACATTTTGCTTATTTGATCATCACTTTGTACATTTTCCTCTGGCTTATCAAATTTATATGAGCCTTCAGATTCTGGAGATACTCTTGATGAAGTTTCTCGTTGGTGAGCATCTCTCTCTGAAAAAGAAAATTCTTTTGAACTTACAGGGGTGTCAAGTGTAGTGTTTATTTTCTTGGAAGTTTCCCTTGGCAGTGAAACTGAAACTTTTGGACTTATTTCATGGTTTAAGTTTTCCATTATTTCAGTTTCTTTCTTCAGACTTCCCATTTTAGTTGGATCTGTTGTGGGGTAGGAAAGAAATGTAGTAAGAGTTTCTGTTTTGTATTTTTCTGGCTGAATCTCTGTAAAGAGCCATTCCAGCCTTTTCACATGTTTTATGGTACCAAATCCTGTGACATAAATGTCTTCATCCAGTGAATTTGAAACTGACAGATTCAAATCTCTTTCTGTCTTGCCTCGTGAAGGCTCATTCCTTTGCGGGATGCTGCTCATCAAGTTTGAGGTCCACTGTTGCTCTGCCTCTTGGTGGGAAACGTAGTGTTCTGCTTGTTTAACCGTGTTTTTATCATCACCTTCAACAGAGCCTCTGTTTGCTATTTCCTGGATATCAGATGATACTTGAAGATTTTGCTGTAGACAAGAAGATCCTGCAGTTCCTGGTGTGTGTTTGCCAATTTTCTTCTCTGAATCTATATAAAGGAGAGGCTCTGATGGTATGGAAAGAAAAGTCCTTGTAAGAACCACACATGCTTCACCTTTATCTTTGTGTATTTTTCCCTTCACCTTGTTAATATTCAACACAAATTCCTTTGCATTAAGGAAATGCGAAAGTGGTGAACTTCTTGCTGCTCTGCAATGCATCCTGACCTGCATCTCTACCATCTTCACCTCATGTTTTTCTTCCTTCTGTGACATATGTGGTTTTCCCTTTCTTGCATCACCACTCGCTGCCTCTGTTTCTGATGTTTTCTCTGCAATGGATAATGCTGAAAGCATTAGCAGAGGTGAAGAGGGTGTTTTTTCATCTACTTGCATACCTTTATCTAGTTGAGGGTCGGGTGAAAATTTGGAAGTATATACTTTTCTTTGAACCATACATGGTGGTTTACCTTGACCTTCAGGTTCCTTTTGTTTTTGCCCTCTAATATTCAGATGCAGCTCTGATCTATAGAGTATACCGGAACGAGGTGATTTCTTTGACTTCAAAGTTACATCCGTACCTCTCATATCTACCATTTTTTCTCTGGTCCTTTCTTCTTTTTGAGGCATATGTTGCTTTTCATTTCGGACATCTTTTGAGATATCACTATCAACTGACTTTGTCTGTACTGTCTCCCCTGCATGTGATATTCTCTGTAAAGCAGACCTTATAAGTCTTAGGGTTTCAACATCTTCATGTGTTTCTTTATCCACTTTGAGTTGAGGCTGAGATATGAATGAAGGCGATTTGGTCAGAACCACACCCAGCTCATCTTTAGATTCCTGCACCTTCTTTTCTTGATGTTTAGGGGATATTGTGATGTTCACTATTTGCACTCCAACCTCTTCCTTTCCCTGTGGCACATGTTGTTTTCCTGTTTGAAGGCTGATTAAAATATTATTAGCAACTGGCTTTATATATATGCCTCCTTCAGAATCTGATGATTCCTGGAGGTTTACTTGGGAAAGAGAGGGTCTCATCAACCATGGTATGCTTTCTTCCTTGATCCCAGTATTCACGTTGAGGTGAAGTGGGGAGAAAGATCCAGAAGAACTCTTAGTCAACATCATACCTGGCTCACATTTAACTTCCTCTACTTTTTCCTTTAACCCTCCAGTTTTCCATTGAAGTTCACTCAAATTATATGTATGTACAGCAGGTGATGTCTTTGCCTTCCGATATATTTTCTTGGGATCCACTACACTATTCTTATCCACAACTTTTTCTCTACCCTTCTCTTCTTTCTGTAGCACGTGTGCTTTGAATTCTCTTACCTTATCTGAAAGTTCTCCATCAGTTGTTTCCGGGACTGCTACTCTCCCTGCATCTGATGATTCCTTGGACTTTAATTGTGGGAGAGACAATTTTGGAATTCTTACCATGTTCTTCTCTCCTTGTGTTGTATCAAACTTAAGATATGGTGGAGTAAGTAAAGAAGTATTCTTGCTTATCAGACCCATAACCTGTTCATATTTATCTCCCTGAATCTTTCTCCTTTGTACCTTAGTTCTCCACTTTCCTATGGTACCAAGGACATGTGAAGATAGTAACTTCTTCGCCTTCGGATCCATATATTTGGGAAGCATTTTGTTTCTCAAGGCTACTTTGAATCTATCTTTCTCTTCTTTCTGTGTTATAGATTGTATTGACCCTGCTCTGTCACTTAACATATAACAATCCAATGACTTAGCATATGCTTTTTTTCCTGAATCTAATGAATCACAAATCTTTGCTGATGGAAAAGAGAATTGTGTTTTTCCTAGTGCACCTTCTTTTTTATTCATTCTAGAGCTGCATTTCAGGTGAAATGGGGATGAGGAAACAGAAGTTGAAACCATTCTGGGTTCCCTTTTGCTTTCCTGTTTTTCTTTCCCTTGCTCTTTAATATTCAAAGGGTGTTTCTTTCCCTTGTATAGTTGTGCAAGTGGGGATGTCTCTGCTTTCAAAATTATTCTTTCATGGAGTATTCTACCTTTCCTGTCTTCTATTTTTATTCCTTCATTTACCTCTTTATGTGGCATATGTTGATTTGCTTTTAATGTTATATTATGTGAGCTAATATTGTCCTTTGAACCTGCACAACTGCTTTTCTCTGCATCTGAAAATATAGGAAGCTCTAGCTGTGTAGATAGGAATCTACGGTGAGATGGTGATGGCATGGAAGAATGAGTTTCCATCAGGAGCATGTCAGGACCTCCTGTCCTTTCCTGCTTCTTTTCTACTGTCTTTTTCATGCCCCACTGTGGCTCCTTTCTCTTGCTCAGAGGACTGTGTTCAGTGACGCTGAAGACAAGTGAAGGTTCTGATGTCTTTGCCTTGAAAACTGCACCACTGGGGTGCATTAAGTCATCCTTGGCTACTGCTCGTACTGTGTCTTCTTTCTTTGGGAGACGTTTTCCTTTCTTTACGAGACTATCGGTTGACTCTGTAGGTGCTATTTGGTCTGCAGGCAGTGATTCTTGGAGCTCAAAGTGTGGCCCATAGCTTCCTATTATTCCGGATTCACTTTCCTCTCCTTTTATTGTGTCCAAATTTAAAGATGTTGAAGAACAGACAATGGGATATGTTTGGCTCAGAAGCACAACTGTTTCCACCTCACCTTCCCTTGTCTTTTTCCCTTGTTCTTTGATCTTCACTTGCAGATTCCTTATTTTGAGTATATTGGAAAAGAGTGATTTCTGTGTCTTTATAGTTATGCACTTTGCTTTATCCTCTTCGGTCTGTGTTATATTTTCTGATCTTTTTGATTTGATTAAGGTATCATTTGAAGGTGACAATGTATATTTGAATTTCCCCATATCTGATGATACCATGTCCCGTGAAGGTGGAAGAAAGGATCTTGTTACTCCGTGTTTCTCTTCCTTGCCTTCTATACCTTTGTCTAATTTATCGTGAGGTACAGAAGGTGTTGCTTGAACCACATCTAGTTCACTTTTTCGTTTCTGTATGTGTTCCAATTTTTCTTTTATGTCTGCCTGTTCTTCTCTAATTTTTGAGCTACTGCCACCAGTGATACTAGGAGCACGTGAAAGTGGTAATTGCTTTGCCTTAGAAGTCGTGCCTTCAGGTGGCATTACATATTTCATGGTTACTATTTTTCCTCTATCTACTCCTTTCTGTGGCTTGTATTCTGACACTGTTTTTACACCATTTGAGAGATTCCCAACTGACCTTGTATGTGCTATTTCTCCTGCATCAGATGATTTCTGGTTTCTTACTTGTGAAACAGCATACCTTGTTGTTCCTTGTATGTCTTCCTTTCCTTCTACTCTTGTGCTCAGTTCATAATGAGCTAGAGAAGATTCAAAAGGCGACTGTCGGGACAGAACTACTTCCTGTTCACTCTCATCTCCACCCAGTTTCCCTTGCACTGCACCTGTTCCCTCTGTTTTCCATTGCTCTTTAACGTCTTCATCTATTTTCCTTTGGTCTTGGTCTTCTCTAAGCTTTTCTCCTTGCTCTTTAATGTCTTGATGCATTTTCCCGTGCTCTTTAACATCTCCATCAATTTTCCCTTGCTCTTGCATAACTCCATCCATTTTTCCTTCTTTAACTTTATGATCCATTTTCCCTTGCTCTTTAATGTCTCCGCCCATTTTCTCTTGTTCTTTAATGTCTCCATCTACTTCTCTTTGCTCTTTAATGTCTCCATCTGTTTTCCCTTGTTCTTTAACCTCTTCGTCCCTTTTCTCTTTTTCTTCAACTTTGAGATCCATTTTCCCTTGCTCTTTAATGTCTCCATCCACTTTCTCATGTTCTTTAATGATTCCATCTGTTTTCTCTTGTTCTTGAACACCTCCATTCATTTTCCCTTGTTCTTTACCTTCTCCATTCATTTTCCCTTGTTCTTTACCTTCTCCGTTCATTTTCCCTTGTTCTTTAACTTCTCTGTTCATTTTCTCTTGTTCTTTAACTTTTAGATCTGTTTTCCCTGGCTCTTTCACATCTCTCCCCATTTTTCTTTCTTTAACGTCTCCATCCATTTTCCCTTGTTCTTTAACATCTCCTTCCATTTTCTCTTGTTCTTTAACTTTGAGATCCATTTCCCCTTGCTCTTTAATGTCTCCATCCACTTTTCCTTGTTTAACGTCTCCATCCACTTTCTCTTGTTCAATTTCTCGATTAGTTTTCCCTTGCTCCTTAACATCCCCATCAACTTTTCCTTCCTTAACTTTTTCATCCATTTTCCCTTGCTTTTTAACATCTCTGTTCATTTTTCCTTCCTTAACTTCTTGATCTGTTTTTCCTTGCTCTTCAACATCTCCATCCGTTTTTCCTTCGTTAACGTCTCCATCAATTTTCTCTTGTTCTTTGACTTCTTGATCCATTTTCCCTTGCTCTTTAATGCCTTCATCCATTTTTCCTTCCTTAACTTCTTGATCCATTCTCTCTTGCTCTTTAACACCTCCATCTATTTTTCCTTCTTTAACGTTTCCATCCATTTCCTCTTGTTCTTTAACCTCTCGATCTGTCTTCCCCTGCTCTTTAATTTCTTGATCCGTTTTCTCTTGTTCTTTAACTTCTCCATCCATCTTCTCTTGTTCTTTAACTTCTTGCTCTGCTTTCCCTTGCTCTTTAATGTCTCCACCCATTTTCTCTTGTTCTTCAACATCTCCACCCATTTTCTCTTTTTCTTCAACGTCTTCATCTGTTTTCTCTTGTTCTTTAACCTCTCGATCTGTCTTCCCTTGCTCTTTAATTTCTTGATCCGCTTTCTCTTGTTCTTTAACTTCTCCATTCATCTTCTCTTGTTCTTTAACTTCTTGATCTGCTTTCCCTTGCTCTTTAATTTCTCCACCCATTTTCTCTTGTTCTTCAACATCTCCACCCATTTTCTCTTGTTCTTCAACATCTCCATCCATTTTCTCTTGTTCTTTAACTTCTCCATCCATCTTCTCTTGTTCTTTAACTTCTTGATCTGTTTTCCCTTGCTCTTTAACATTTCCATCGATTTTCTCTTTCTCTTTAACTTCTCGATCTATTTTCCCTTGTTCTTTAACTTCTTGATCCATTTCCCCTTGCTCTTTAATGTCTCGATCTGTTTTCCCCTGCTCTTTAACGTCTCCAACCATTTTTCCTTCTTTTACTTCTTGACCTATGTTCTCTTGCTCTTTGATGTCTTGATCCATTTTCTCTTGTTCTTTAACTTCTTGATCCATTTTCCCTATTTCTTTAACATTGCGATCCATTTTTTCTTGCTCTTTAACTTCTCCATTCTTTTTTCCTTGCTTCTTAACTTCTTGATTTGCTTCTCCCTGCTCTTTAACTTCTCCATCCGCTTTTCTTTGCCCTTGGACTTCTCTATCTTTTTTTTCTTGCTCTTGGTCTTCTTCAGCTCTTTTTCCTTGTGTTTTGCCTTCTTCATCCTTTTTCCCTTGCTGCTGATCTTCTCTATCTGCTTTTTCTTGTTCCTCACCTTCTTCACCCTCTTTCCTTTGCTCCTGGCCTTCTCCATCTGTTTTTTCTTTCTCTTGGCCTTCTAGATCCATTTTCCCTTGGTCCGTGCCTCCTAGATCAAGTTTTCCTTGCTCCATGCCTTCTTGATCCATTTTTTGTTGTGGTTCTTTGCCTTCTCCATCCTCTTTCTCTTGCTCCTGGCCATCTCTATCTACTTTTTCTTCTGTATAGCCTTCTGGATCTGTTTTCTTTTGCTCTAGAAGAATCAGTGGTAGATCCTGTAAAAACATCTTCTTTCCTTTCACATCTCTATCTTCTGGGTGCAGTATGTCTTTCCTGGCTGATATCTTTACTTTATCTTCTTCTTTCTGTGGCATATTTTCTTTTGCTTTTTGTACATCACTTGTGATATCAACTTCAATGGCCTCCCCATTTGCTTTTTTCACTATAGTTGATGGTTTGTGGTGTGATAATTCTGGAAGAGAGTATCTTGTATCTCCTTTTTCTATCCTCTTATCCAATTTTAAGTGAGAAGAAGAAGGTATGGAAGTGCTAGTATTGGTCAGAAGCACACTTGGTTCACCTTTCATTTTTTGTATTCCTCCCTCTTGGTCTCTGATGTCCAACTGAACTTCCTGTGAAACTAATGATTTCTTTTTCTGTAAGGGTATGACTTTTTCCATTTTTACCTTCACCTCTATTTCTGGCAGTATATGTTCTAGGACTTTTTTTACACTGCTTGAGATATTAGCAGAAAAAGACCTTTTACATACGGTTTTGTCTATAACTAATGACTTCTGGATATTTGGTTGTGAAAAAGAAAATGTCACCTTTATTGGCATGGTTTCCTCTTCTTTTACTGTGCCCATATTCGAGTAAGGAGGAAAAGAGATGGAAAGAAGATGTTTGCTCCGAATTGCAACTTCTTTAACTCCTGGCATATTTTTCTCTTTTCCTTTGATGTGCAATTGTAATTCTTGTGACAGTGAAGATTGTTTTGTCTCCAGAGTTATTCTTTTGGAATGCACCATTTCTTCCAAAGCCATTTCCACTCTATCCTTAAGTGCCATATGTTTTGCTTTTCTTATACTGTTTAAAATATCGTCAGTTGGTTCCTCACATTTTTCCATTGTACCTGATAACTCCTGGAGTGTGGATGATGGAAGACAGAATCTTGTTACTCCTCTCATGTATACCTCTTTTACTCTAGGATCCCATTTCAAGTGAGGTGAAGAAATAATAGAAGCATGGGGTTTATTCTGAACTACATCTAGATTACTCTTCTCTTTCTGTGTCATTTTATCTTGCTTTTTATTGCTCCACTGTGGTTCCTTTCCATGCAGTAAGTGTTTAAAAGGTGAATTCTTTCCTTTCAAAATGGTACATATGAAACCCATTATATCTTTCACATCTAGAATACTTTCTCTATCTTCCTTCTTTTTCTTTAGCAAACATTTTGATTCTATTACATTGCTTAAATTATCTCTATCAATTGTCTCTGCAAATGATACTTTTTTTACTGTCTTTATTGTCTCTGCAAATGATACTCTTTTTTTTGGTGATGCTTGAAGCTTTAGTGATGAGAGGCAGTTCCTAAGTATTCCTGGCTTATCTTTTCCTGCATTTACTCTTAAATTTGAACCAGGGTGTGCTAGAGATGGTGAGGAAATACACAAGTTTGTCAGTTTCACACCTGATTTACCTTTAGGTTCTTGCATCTTGCTCTCTTGTTTGATAATATCCAACAGTAACATATACTTCTTTCTACTGAGTATATGCATCAGTGATGATTTCTTTGTCTTCAAAGTAGTGTTAAGTCTCATTATTCTTTTCAAATCCACTGTTTTTACTTCATCCCTCTTCTTTCTCTGTGATATATATTGTTGTGTCCTTTCTACATTATTTGAGATCACCCCATCAGTAGTCTCTTCATTCAATTCAAGATAAAGAAAAGGACCTGATTCATATATTTTTGCTTCAACCATATCTTGTTCACCCATTCTGTGTCTCATATTTATAATTTCTTCTGTTATGTCCCACTGTCTTTCTAGTCTGTCGCTTGGAGCACCATAGACAGCGGGATTAAGTATAGGCGAAAATACTGATTTCGTCAACTTCAGAGTTGTTCTTTTGTGGTATATTATGCCTTTCACAATGCCTTGTTTTATTCTATCCTTTTGTCTTTTACTTTCATGCAAAATAGGCATAGATACAGAATGTAAAAATACTCCAGAGAGACATTTTTCCTTTTGCACGTTTTGATTTGCCTTATGTGATTCTACCCTCTTTCTAACTCTTAGCTTGTGTGAGCTATTGGATATAAAATCAATTATCTGTGCCCTATCTGATGATTTATTTCCTTTTGGAAATAAAAGATTCAGATACTTTTTAGTTTTATGATGTGTTCCTGAAGGCAGCATTGTAGTTTGGTTTTTCATTTGCCTCAGAGTAATGGAGGGCACAGTCCATTCCAGCCCATCTTCACATACGGTGTTTAGTTGATCGTTAGAAAGCAAGTCTTGCCCATTTGTTGTGCTTAACACATTACCTACGCCTGATGCTTCTTTTTTCTGTGGCATTAAATGTGACAGGGGATGGGGATACTTTTGAGGGTAAGATATACACTCCCAACAGTTCTCATAGGAAATGGACAGGTACTGCTGTTTTTGTCCTGTTTTGGATATGGTTTGTCTTTTTTTCGTTTTTTTAGTATATCCAACTATGACATCCATTTGTTTTACTGCTTCTCTAGTAGGCAAAGCTGAATCATTATAATACACAATATTTGTAGCATCTAATTTTACTTGTTGCATCGGGGTATTAATTTGAAGTAGATCTGGTTTGAAGTGGGATGCAGAATTTAGAAAAGCCTTATGTGTACATGTTTCTTGCTGTTCTCCCTTTCCTGTAACAAACAAGTCAATTCCTTCTGTATTTACAGTGTGGTGCTCTGGATTATCTACTGCCTGTAATGGTTTCTTTATCCATGGTGACTTTATTGGACGTTTGTCCATCCAAGAGTGAGAAACAGATGTTTGAAAAGCCTTGCATGTGCTTTCTTGTTGATGTTCTTTTCTTCCTTTAATATGCAAATTAATTTCTTCTGAACCTGGAAGCTTATCTACTGGAATACTTACTTCATCTGATGCTTTCTTTACCACTGAGCATGAAACATCTGAACTCATCATTTCTTTTGCTGAGACTTCTTCCTTTGGATTTTCAATAAGAAGTTGATACAATACACAAGAGGAAACAGATTCTAGAATATTTTCTTTATTCTGGTTACAAATATTTAGTTGCTTCATCCACAATCTTTCTGAAAAGTCCATTTTCTGTCTATTTGATTTTAATGGAACGTGAGTTAATTTGGATTGCCCTTTTCCTTGTGGATTTTCATTGGAACTTTCAGAGACACTAACATGATCTTTTTTTGTATTCACTGCCTGTTTTAAATGAAAAGAGCCCCTGTGGGGGAAAGATGCAGAATCTAGAATACTTTCAGGATTGTAATTTGGATTCACCTGTCCTTTCTGCACTGCAGACATTTTGTGCTGGACCTTTAGATTTGTACAAAGAAATTTCTGCCCTTTAGGACCTACTAAGATATCAGCTTCTTTTAATTCCTCACTTCCCAATGCATGTGAAATATTTTTTTTGTTAATGTACACATCTCCCTCCTTAGCCACTTCTCCTGTGTTTTCCAGATGAAGAGGTTTCATCATGGGGTGGGCAACAGAACCTAGGTTTGTCATGGGAACAATTCCTTTCTGAAAAGTTAGTTCAGAGCACAGCTTTCTTTGCAAATCTACTTCTAATTTGATATGATAATACTCCTTCAATCGTTGTACCTTAATCCTTAATGGTTTAACATACTGTTGGGGTATGTCGACTAAATTGTCTTGGTATCTTTGTTCTTCTCTAGTACCTTGTTCCAGTGTTCTAATGATGCTGGACATATTAATACTTTCTGACAGTGGCATTTTTGCTTCACTCCGTGGTGTCCCCAGCTTTAGATGTGAAAGGATGCAAACTCCCTCTCTTGGCTTGCTTTTCTCCATTCTTATTTCTGTATGTTTGTTAATGCCAGATGGAAGGCATTTAGAATCAAAAACAGCCTTCAGAACTAGATTGACTGCACTTTGACTCAGGTGGAATGCCTTCTCCTGCTGAGTGCTACCTCCCAGTTTTTTATGGCTTCCAGTACCACGTCCAAGCAGCTGGGAAACCGGTGTTTTCTTCACCTTCAGTGTTACCTGTGGGGTATACAGAGTGCTTTCCACATCTGCTGTTTTTGCCTTATCTTTATGTCTTACGGTTTTAGGATAAATAGGTGTGTAGGCACAAGGAGAACTCCAGGTAGTTCCCAAAACACATGGCTCTTGTTTCTTTTGGAGGGCAAGAGTCTTGGAATTTGCTCTTGTTTTTCCGTTTGCAGTTTTACATTCTTTCTTCTTCTTTTTAGCTTGAAGTAGATGTAGCTTAGAGAAAAAAGCAGGCCCTGAACTAAACTCTTCTATAGCATTTGATTCTTGGTCTATTAAATCCACTTTGGTTTTCTGAGAAGTGACATTCTTGGGACACACTGTATTGATTAAAGTAGTTTCTGCTTCCAAAGGACGAGGTTGTCTCGTCTGATCTGCCCCAAATTCAAATGACTGGACATACTGTGGAGTTGTTCTAAACAAAACCTGTTGTCTATACCCTTCTTCCTCTCTAACTTTTGCTTTGTTTAGGGCATTTCTCTTTTCAGAGGATTTTTCATACATATCCCAGGTACTAGGTGATGCCTTCACTTTTCTGTGTAGTAGAACTGGCAATGAAGCTTGTATATATTTTTTCTCTGCATTTAATACAGCTTTATCTCTCTCCATTTGTATCTTCTGGGCTTTAAAGTTCTGTTTCTGTTCAGTATCATCTACCATGTTAAGGGATTGTGAAACTGCTGATTGCTTTGCTTTCAAAATTATACCTTTGGGACATGACCTGTCAGCTATTTTTAGGCTATCATTCTGTCTTTTAATTTCTTCTGAAGCAGACAAATGCCTACCAACAGATTCTAGGACAATTCCTGCCAAATTGTATGAAACTTTTTCTTTTAAAACGAAATGGTCAATTTTCTTTTGATCATATTCATTAGATATAGCATCACCTGTTGGCTCATTCAGTTCTGTACAAATATCTGATTTCCCCATCCTTGGAAGTCCAATTTTGAGACTCATGTCTACATTTTTGTTTTTTTCTGTTTTTACATTTTTTTCTAAATTTCCTTTGTAAATACGACTTTCTGGGAAAAAAGACTCTCTTAAATGCACACCTTCTGATTTGCCAGGATGAGGTTCATTTATCATTAAGTTTTTCATATAGCATGGACCAGTTTCTACTGGATGTTCTTGCTTCTCTTCATTTTCTCTATCACGTTGTTTGGCTTCCTTTAAAAAGTTGGAAGCCTCTCTCATATCGATGGAATCAGAATATGTTGCTATCCCTTTAACAGGTGACTCTACTTGTGTTGGTCCTGTGTGACTCAGCCCTGATACTCTCCTGTCTACCTCTGCTTCGAATCTGCTTTGCTTTGTAATGTCAGAGGCACCAGGAGTGAAGCAAATGGTATTTGGAAATGCATCAGCCACATTTTTACCTTGCCACATTGCTTTTAGGTTTGTTTTTAAATTGGACTCAAGTTTCTTCCTATGTTTTGTGACAAATTGTCTATTGGTTTGACGTATCTGTGAAATCGGTGACTTCTTTTCCAGCACAGTTAAACATTCAGCATTCAATATAATTTCCCCTTCTGATAACTGTCCTGTGTTTATCTGGCTTTTAGAGCTAGGCATAGAGAAATCTAAAGGGCCCAAGAAAGTTATGGTTAAGTTTTCTTGTAACTCCGCCTTTTCCTCCGTACTATGGCCATTCAGAGTTTTTTGAAGTGTTCTGTTGAATAGAGTTTTTAAATTGGATTCAAGTTTCTTCCTGTGTTTTGTGGTAAACTGTCTCTTGGTTTTGTGTGTCTGTGAAATTAGTGACTTTTTTTCCTTCACAGTGAAACTTCTGGGATCCAAAATAACTTTCCTTTCTGATAACTGTGCTGTGTTTATCTTACTTGGAGAGTCAGATAAAACTGGCATGAAGGAATCTGAAGGGCCCAAGAAAGTTGTAGTTAAGTTTTCTTTCAACTCTGCCTTTTCCTCTGTAACATGACCATGCAGATTTTGTTGAAGTAGTCTATTAGATAGAGTGTCCCTTGCTCTTGTACTGAATGAGAGTTTATCAATCATTGATTTGAGGGATGGACTCTCAGCATTCTCAGTGGCACTGAGTAATGTCTCTTCTATACTTGCATACCACTGCTTCTCTTTCATCTTGTAGTTAAAGTGGCATTGCTTCTTTTTTCTATGGCCTTCTGTAGGATACCTTGTGATGTTAAACAACTGTGAAACCGGTGGTTGCTTTGCCTTCAAAGTTACATGCTTGGGACTCATTGGACTTTTCTTGCCTGCAGACTCTAATGTGTGAGTCCAGCTTTCAGATTTAGGTGACTCAAGTCTGGAGAAACTGGAAAGTTTTAAGGCTGTTCTTAGTGAGTCCTTTCGTTTCCATGCCTTTTTCTCAGAAATAGAACTATCCCATTTCCTTCTACGATTTCCATCCCAGGAAGTATCTTCCTCTTCATCTTGAAGATCGGGTTTTTGGATGTCATCTAATGTAATACTACCTTTATGTGGTGATGTCTTTTGCTTTACTTGACTAGACTTGAGTCTTATCTCTCTTAGCATGTCGTTTTCTGTTTCTATCTTGCCACACATATTAGTGTCAGGTATAATAGTCATGAAAGAGTCTGTTTTATCTGCCACTTTTTCACCTTGATGCACTTCTTTCATTTTGTTTTTCAAGTTATATACTGATTCTTTTCTATGCTTTGATCTGGCATCACCCTTGATATTGAGCATGTATGAAATTGCTGGTTTCTTTGCCTTTTTAATTTCACATTTGGGATTCACTAATGTTTTCATGTCCGAAAATTTTTTCAAATTTCTCCTAAATATAGGTATAGATAAAGTAGGCGTGCAGAAATTAAAAGTCCCTGTCTCTTTCTTTTCACTATTTCTAGCCTGTTCCTTTTGATGGTTTGAATCAGATGAGATACTACCTTCTGTTACCGAAAATATGATTTCATCAATCTTTGCTTCCCCAGACTTCAAAGACGAAAACCTAACACCACTCTCTAGCTTTTCAAGTTGAAATTTATCCCATATAGGGCATGTAGACCCCAAAATCGTTTGTGGTTGTACCTGCATATTTGTACTTTCTGGTTGGTTCAGTTTCTCAACTGGTTTGACAAGGCCATGAGCCTTCTGACGTGCATTGAGTATGAAGTCATGGCTATTCTCTGGAACCTGTAAAGATTCAGGTTCCTCCTCCACCTCTTTTCCATATTTCACACTGTTAGATAAACTACTTGAGTCAACAGAATCTGGGCAACTTAATTTTCTTCCACTTGATTTCTCTTGCATTTGCTGCATATGACCAAAGCTTGCTATCCTCCGCATATCTGCCTCCACATTTAAACTTCTCATTTTGATATTGGGCAAAACAGGCCCCTTGGAGTGAATGATGCTCAAAAATGCATCTGCTACCTTTTTCTTTTGCTGTGGATCTTTCATCTGCGTTTTAATACCACTTTGCAGTGGATTGTTATGCCTGCCATGAAACATGTATGAAACAGATGGCTTTATTTCCCTCATAGTTCTATGCCTGCGACTTACTGGATTTTGCTTCTTTGCTAGTTTTAATGTCTTTCCTGGTCTTTTAGATTTAGAAACAAAGGACATTATAACAGAATCAGAAGACTGCAAGAATGACACTTCCAAATCTGTTGGTAACTCTGAATTTTTTTCCACAAAGCAAGAGTCTAGTTCCCTTTTAGAGTTTCTACCAGATGATAAGCCACACTTTGTTGCTGTATTCAAAAGTTCATCAAGTGATGAGTTCCCTGGTTTGGGAGGTAGAATCTTAGCACCCACAGGGACTTTTATGTAATTCTCTATTTTGTTGGCGTTCTTTAGTTCTTCAGTTTCTAGAGGACCCATTTTGAGGCTAGCCTCCAAGGTTGTTGGTGTAAAACCTGCTTGGTGCTGCACACTTTGCCCAATAATAGGAAGCTCCTGTGTTAAACAGTTCCGTGCTGGGTCTGATTCATCAAGGTGAATCTCCTTCATTAGATGAACATCAGACTCTAGGTGTTGGCTCTGCTGTGCAGCTGCTTCTAGTACAGCTTTTTGCTCCTCTTTCTCTCCAACTTGCAATTTTTCCTCTGTGTCACAGAATGCACTACTCTTAGCAAAGACATCAATGTACTTTTTACGTGCTGGTTCTTCTTGCTTTAACTGAGAATGACAGAATTCTCTCTGTAATCTGCTATACATGGGGGAGTAAAAAGCATTTAGATATTTAGGTACCGGTCCCTTAGCTTGGTTTATCTTCATGCTCTTTGTCTTCAATTCCTTTCTATGGCTTGTGATATTGATTATCTGTGAGAGTGATGGCTTCACTGCCTTCATATTTATATGTTTAAGCTCTAAAATACTTGAAATGGGTGCAAATGTTACTCTCTTTTTATTTATTTTAGAACAAGATAAAACAGGTATGAAGCAATCAAATGTCTCTGGAGAAGTTGCTGGTACATCTTTTGGTAATTCTGCCTTTTTTCCTGCAAAAGCATCTATTCTCCTTGTATCACTTCCATTACTTGGAGCATCACATTCTCTTATTTGGTTTAAAGGGTCCCTAGTCAGTGACTTTCCTGACATTGATAGAGGCATCTCCAAATCTGCAGTGCATTTGAAGTCTGTTTGTGCTATCTGGCTTCTCTTCACATTCTCAGCATGAGATGGCTCCATTATAGGGGCGTCAATAGACTCCATAATGGTTTCTGTGAACGGGACTGGTTGATGCACTTCTTTCTCTGTTTTAATCTCCTTTGCTGGATTTGCTTCCAGTCTGAAGTTCCAGATATCAGGAGGAACTGCTGTTAGTAGGGCTTCTGTGATCCCTTCCACTTCATCTTGCAATTGAGTTTCGAGTGTGTATTGAGATTCATTTCCCTTATTAATGGAATCTGAACACTTTTCTTCCCGTTCAACTTGGGATTGCTCTTGTAGTCGCTTAGTATGATTGTGGTTCTCTTCATTTAATTTGCTACGCATTCCAGTATTAGGCAAAATAGACATGTGAGAGTGAATAACATCTGGAAGCACATCCACAACAACTTTATCTTGTAGCGTCTGTTTAATTATGATTTCAAAATTACCTCTCAACTTTCTTCCATGTCTTGGAGTACCATGTACTCTGATATAAGGAGTCAGTAAGACTGATGGCTTCTTTACTTTCATAATTACATTTTTGACACTGAGTACACTTTTTCTTCCAGATTGTTTCTTTTTAATTTTTTGCCTTTTAAAATATGGTACAGTGAACATATGGATATTGAAAGATCCCAGGGCAACTGTTGGTAAATCTCTTTTTAAGTCCTCCGTTTCTTCTTCAAAATGACTATCCAGTGTATTTCTGGGATTTTCAACAAATGGGACACCACTCTCTGGTGTTTCAATTAAAATGTTCCCAGCTGGCAAGTTCTCTGGCATTGTAAGTGAATTATTTGGATCTGTAGCACTTTCTCTGCTTACAGGTCTATCTGCGCTGTGCTTCATCTGCTCAACTTGAAATGGATCCATCACAGGGCATGGACTAGTCCCCAAAATAGTTGGTGTCGAAAGAGTTTGTGGGTGTACCTCTTGCTCTTTATTTGGAGTTTTCCTACTTCCTGAACTGGTCTGTTCCATTTCAAATTTGAAATATTTGGGTTTTTGTTTTAGCTGTATGCTGAACTTGAAACCTTGTGTCAGCTCTAAAATGACTTCTTGTTCTTCTTGTTCCTCTTCCTCTCTGTCACACTGTTGTGGCTTTTTACATATAGAGCTTTTATCAATGCAGTTTGCATTCTGTGTTTTATTGTCATCTGGTAATTTCTCTTGCTTTGACGCCAAATGACTGAGCCTTATTACCCTTGAAGTGTCTGTCTTGGATTTTAATCTGCTATGCATTTCCCTATCAGGTGGTTCAGAAATGGTTGTGTAAGTGGCATTGTGAAATGCATCAGATATTTTTTGATCTTGATGTACCTTTTTTACGTTAAGTCTAGTGTTGCATTCCAGTTCCTCACTTTCACTTAGGTCACTGTGTTCCGGAATATTAAGTATTAATGGTCCCTTCTCCTTCTGATTTATACTTTCTGTGTGTACTTGAATTGTCATGCTTTCTAGTTCTTCACTGCTTTTATGTTTTTTGTTTCCTAGGGAAATGAGCATATGGACATTTGACAACTTCAGAATAATTTCCATAGATTCTTTTGGTTTCTGTGTATTTTCCTTTGGAAAGCATCTTTGCTTTTCTGGTGTACTAGTAAGTAACTCCTCTCCATTTGAAAGCTGAAGTTGGGAGTTCTCTGTACTTGGTAGGTCCTCCTGTATTTTCATTCTTCTGTTCAGTTCCATTGTGGAAGAGGAAACAACTTTCTGCATAGGTTCAGATACAGCTGCTTCTAAAGGTGTTTCATGCTTTGGAACATGTAGGTCAAATGTTTCTTTACTATTTGTGTCTTGAAATTCTGCAACACCAATTTCCTTTGCTTGTGTGCTTGGGTCTTTAAGAGACTCTTTACTCTTCCTGATTGTTTCTATTAACGAACAGGGTACTTTTACCTGAACAGTGTTGGCCACAGAAGACTGTTCTAGCTGAGGTAACATTTCTGGTGAAATTTTTTTTAGTCCTTTATTTTCTCTTCCACATTGCTTTACATTTTTAATAACCCCTGAAATTCCTCTCTCCTCAATAGAAGCTGAATTATTAATTTTCTCTGCATCTGGCAACTTATTTTGCTTCTGCAGATAATGTCCATATTTCATTAAACCTGGTACAACTTTTACTAGTTTTTTTCTGGAATACTTTTTAATGTAAGGAGGAATACGCTTGGAAACAGAAATAAGATGCAAAGCTATATCTGATATATCTTTCTTTTCACATAGTTCTTTTTTCTCAATGTTATACTTGCATCCTAACTCGTCCTTATTTTTTAAAGTGTGATACACTATGATTTGAAACACGTGTGAAGTTGGTGTTTTCTTCACTTTTAGATATCTAACATTAAGACTGAGTTTGCTTTTAATGTCTGGTATTTTTCTTCTGTTTTTCTGCCCTTTAATGGTAGGTGAAAGAGGCACTGAGCTATATACAGAATTCTGACTTAATTCTGATGAAGCAATTTGTTGCTGACCTTGTGGCTTTATACTCTCTAATTGTGACATATCTTTAGCAATTGAATTTGGATTTACAGTTATGTCAAGAAACTCAGCATTCTTAAAGACAGTATTTTGCCCCTTTGTTGAATACTCAATCTTGTCTGAATCTTCAAAATAAGCTAAATATTTGGCCTCATCTAAGTGTTCATCAGACTCTAGGCCTTTGATTGACTCTTGTGTCTCAACAATACATGGGATTTTACCAAAATTTTGGCTCTTGTCAAAATCTTGTATCTGGAAGGAGTCGTGTGTGCTGCTGGAAAATAGTTTCCTCATCATATCTTGAGGCTGAGCAAAGGTGCTGGCCTTGATATCAGGCTGGCTGATTGATTCTTGACTGTGAATTAATTGTTGGGCTTGACTAGTAAATTGGGCTTCATAAAAACCTTCATTCTGAATATCACTTTGTCCTGGAAAATAATCTTGTGCTTGCTCAGAACTAACCATTCCAACAGAATGTTGTTTCTGAGTCAAAGATTCTTGAGGTCTTGAGCACAGATAAATAGTTTCACTCTCTAACACAGCTTTGTATTTTGAAGAAATTTGATCTCTCACATTTTCTTCCAGATGTCTAACTTGGTCTCTAGAAAGAAACAAATGGACAGAAGGGCAAGGTGCCACATCTAGATCTTCATTGTCAACAGTGAATCTAGTTATTGAAAAGTTAAAATCAGAAGAAACCACTGTATTTTTATTTTTGTTGGTTTTCATTATTGAAATTAAATGCTTGGAGGAAAATTGTATTGTTTCATGTTCATTTTCTGGAGGTTCTCTATGGCTTGGAAACATTTCCTTTACTTTTGAATGAAACAATGAGAAAGATGAACTAATCCCATTTGAAGATGGAAGATGACTTTCACTAAAGTGACTTACTCGATATTCACCTATGCTGGTAGCTGTACATTCAGATGATGATAAAATTCTGTCTTTAAAACGACTTTCATTTTCTTCAGATGTAAGTGATGAAGTAGTTCTTTCTCCTGAAAAGGTGTCAACTCTAAAATACAAGAAAACAATGTGGAAATGAAATCACTTAGGATATATTTATTATAAGAACTGTCTTCTGGGTTCAAGGAAACCCAGTATATTATATGAAAACAGATCAGCATAGAGATAAATTAGAAAACTATTATCCACATTACAAAATAATTCATTACCTAGTTCCTTTCATTTAATAAGCCAATCAATTGATAAAATGAACTAAATCATTTATTATTACTATACAGCTTAGAGAAAGAGATTTTCCACCTTTATCTCTCTTAAAGTCTATTTTTGACAGCAATGGGTCAAAGGTGCAGGATAAGATTATACACGTTTACAAGGAATATCAGTTTTTTTCTGTTTTGTATATGAAAGTTTTCACAAGAAAAAAACATTCTTTTTTTTTTCTTTTGAGTTGCCCAGGCTGGAGCACCATGGCTCACTCACGGCCGCCCCAACATCAATCTGCTGGGCTCCAGCGATCCATCTGCCTCAGCCTTCCAAGTAGCCGGAACTACAGGTGCACGCTACCACGCCCAGCTAATTTTTGATTTATTGTAGAGACGAGGTTTCACCAAGTTGCCCGGGCTGACCTCAAACCCATGGGCTCAGGCAATCCACTCGCCTCAGCCTACCAAAGTGCTGGGATTACAGGCTGAGCCTCCGAGCCCGGCTGAAAAAACATTCTTATAAAAATTTAGGCAAGGTGCAATGGTTCATGCCTGTACTCCCAGCACTTTGACAGGCTGAGGCAGGAGCTTGAGCCCAGGAGTTCGAGACCAATCTAGGCAACATAGTGAGATCTCATCTCTATACGAAAAAAATCAACAAATTAGCTGGGTTTGGTGGCACATGCCTATAAACCCAACCTGGGCACCAGAGTGAGACCCTAATTCAAAACACAAAAAAATAAAAAAAATAATAACTAAAACATAAAGGAAATGTAATAGGTACAATGAAAGAATGTCCAATGATATAAACCGTAGCTATGTATAGATAAGTACAGCTTACCTTAACAGTTGTCTATCCATAATCAACAGAAAAGCCTACATCTAAGGAATATGCTTCTCCATACAATTTTGGGGTGGAGCAATGATCATTATGATATGAACTTGCCAGCATCCATTTCTCTCAAATAATTAGTCTCAGTCTAAGTGCTCATCACTTCTTATCAACAGCGCCACCTGGTGTGATGGCTAATTGTTGTTGTTGTTGCTTGTTTGTTTGTTTTGGGTTTTTTTTGAGTTGGAGTCTCACTCTGTCGCCCAGACTGGAGTGCAGTGGCCGCTCCCGGCCACCGCAGCCTCGAACCGCTGGGCTCCGGCGATCCTTCCGCCTCAGCCTTCCGAGTAGCCGGAATTACAGGCATGCACTACCACGCCCGGCTGATTTTTTTTTTTTTATTTATTGTAGAGATGAGGTCTTGCTGCCCAGGTGGGTCTCGAACCCGCGGGCTCAGGCAATCCACTCACCTCAGCCTCCCAAAGGCACGGGATTACAGGCTGAGCCACCAAGGCCGGCGTGATGGCTAATTTTATGTGTCCGTTTGTCTGGGCCATGATGCCCAAATATGTGGTCAAATATTATTCTGGATGTTTCTCTGAGGGTATTTTCTGAGGAACTTAACATTTACATCAGTGGATTTTAAGGAAAGCAGATTGCTCTCCCTAATCATGAGTGAGTGTCATTCATTCAGTGGAAGGCCTGAATAGAACATAAGACTGATATCTGCCCTACTCCTCACAAGAGGAAATTCTGCCTGAAGACAGCATTTGCACTTGAACTGCAGATTCTGGAATTGCTAGTCACCCTAACTGCTTGAGCCAATGCTTAAAAATAAGTTTTAAAATAATAAAATTAAAAAGCATTGATTCAGTCGGGCTCGGTGGCTCAGCCTGTAATCCTGCGTTTTGGGAGGCTAAGGTGAGTGGGTTGCCTGAGACCTTCCTGGGCAACTTGGTGAGACCTCATCTCTACAATAAATTAAAAAATTAGCCGGGCGTGGTAGCGCATGCCTGTAGTTCCAGCTATTTGGAAGGCTGAGGCGGAAGGATCACCGGAGCCCAGCAGGTCGAGGCTGCGGTGGCTGGGAGTGGCCACTGCACTCCAATCTGGGCGACAGAGTGAGACTCCAACAAAAAAAAAAAAAAAAAAAGCATTGGTTCTGTGTCTCTGAAAAACCCTGACAAATACACCCAGAAACTTGCTAGAAATGCACATTCTCAAGCCCACCCATCCCAACTGGATCTGAAGTCTGGGGGTTAGGCCTAGAAATCTTGAGTTTTAGTAAGAACTTACTCAAGAACTTACTAAAACTCAAGTGATTCTGGTGCATGATAAGTTTTGAAAGTCACTGTTTTATGAAAGGACAAGCCTAAAATAAAAAATTGAACCTCATATAAACTAGGCCATGTTATAGCCAAACTGCGAGAAAGGAGAATCGCCAGCACATCAAGTTCGAATTATGAGTCCTTTAATAGCACGCACAGTCAAGAGTAGGCTCACACCAAGAAAGCTCCCAACCCTGGGTGAAACAAGCAAGAAGCTTATAAAGGCAAAAATCACAAGTGGGTTACATAGCAAGGGGGTGAGGGAATAAGGCACTAAAAACAAAAGGGAACAAAATATCGGAATAAAATATGAGGATGTGGTAGGGGAAATTTTGCAAGGAATAATCCCTTGGTGCAACACCTGATTTCAGCTAACAAAGCATACAATTACACGGAATTTGAAGCTAGGGAATTTTCAAATGAGCAGGGTGAACAGTTCAGGGGAGACAAGGATGTGGGTCCATGGTCATGGGAATGTTACAACAATTACATGTACACACTGCGGGGGGGGGGTCATTTTTAGGTCAGGCAAGCAGTTAACCTGGAGGATTTTAACAAAATGGAGTTACTTATGTCAAGCAAGCTATTATAATCATTTTAGATATTTCATTAGATATTTCATTCCCCCCCTTTAGTTGTACATGAGTCAATTCGTTGACTCGTCAGTCATGGGTATGGAATTATAATAGGTTCTTACATGCATAAGTTTTACAGAATTGATTCATTGTTTTATGAAGTTAATAATTCAATTTAAGAGGAAGAGGAGGATAGGTGGGCTAGCCAAACTGGTGATGAGAGTTGTTAACCAAGGGCTCTAGTCAAACAAGGATTGAAACCAAGATTTATTATTATTTATTTCTTTTTGTCACCTGTCAATATTTTCTTGGACCTTTTGCAGGGTGACTTTAATACTTCCAAATTTGTTTGTATGGAAACAACAACCTTCTCTGAGAGCAGCACAAAGTCACCCTTGGGATAGGAAAAACAAGTTTAGGCCTCTATGATTTTGGAGGACAACTTCTACTAGGGAGTTTACCTGGTTATGGAGTTGGTCTATAGCAGATTGCATGTAATTTAAGTTAGAATTCATGTCTTGTGCAAGGTTAGTTAGCCCTAGTTCTCTATGGACCAGGGTAGCGGTACTGAGTGCAGCTGTTCCAGCTATGCTGAACCCAATTAAGGCAGGCACTAGTAGGGGGGCAGCACATTTCCACCGAGTTGCTGGAAGACCAGGAGGATTGAATAAAAGGGTCCCTTCAGGACCGCTGTAAGCATATACCTGGGGAAGTCACATGAACAGTAATACATAAGATAGGCTTATTGTTTAACATTTCAGCAGTAATACAGGTGATAAGACTGGCAGGACAAGCAAACCGAGTATTGGCAGGGGCCACATAGGCCATGGATTCAGTTACAGTTTCAGTGAGAGACGAGATGCAGACATCAGAAAATGGTGAAGCTGTTAGATTGAAATCCGAGGTTACAAGTCAAGAGGCATTTCCAGTGACATCTCCTATGGTGACATGAACTGTTTTTGGAGAACATATAGTTTTGTCAGTGTTGCTGACAACAAGAGTATTGATCCCTAGGCCTGCATAGTAAGGGGGCCTTGACTTTAAGCAGAGCCAGCAATCTGAAACTAACGGAGGCCAAGTGGAACTGAGCAAATGGTTCATATGAGTTAACTTAGGAAAAAGACTAGGAGGCTGTTGAGCTGGTGGACTAGCTCCTGGGCGAGCCCCCATAGCTAGTTTTGGAGGCTGTGCCCCTGGGTGAGCTTCTGGAGCTGACTTTGGGAGATGTTGAGGTGAACTCGGGGTTGTAATTTGGTTAGCAAGAGGCGGAGGCTGATGGAAACTGAACATGTGATCTCCCCAGTTGGTTAATGGCCCTACCGGCCTGGCTAGGTGGTTAGGTGAGTGTTCGTCATTGGATGGTGAATAAAGCACGGGGTCATAGTCAGCTATATATGCCCGTATGCCCCAAGTAGATCCTGTTTCCCAAGAATAGTGAAGGGGTTGATAATTTTTATGTATACCAGTGTCAAATTGGGGTCTGGACTGGTACCTTGCCAAAGGATGATTTGGGAAGTACCATTGCACCCCCCACTGTAAGGTGTGATAGTGACACATTTCCATTGTGGGCAAAAGAAATGGTCAGCCTGATTACAGTGTTGGTTGGTGGGATTTCGAGGGCATGTTGGGGGCATCACAGACAGGTATGGAGGTGTTGACCATGCCTCCACCCATAAGGGGGCCCAATAGGAGGACATGAGGGGGCTTAACAAGGAGATTAAGAAGGTTGCAAAGAGAGACTATAAGAATGACCCGGTTAGTAGGAACCAGATCAGTTCAGGTTGGGTTGAAAGGGACCGTCCAGTTTTGAGTAGCTAACACTGTCCCTGAGGCAAAAGATGTTAGGGAGAAGGAGTACAGGATGGTTTTAGACTCCCCAGTTAAAATGAAACAAGTTAAATTTATTGTAAGCATAATAGGACAATAATACATCCTAGGCATGAGAGATAGTAGAGCATTAACAGAACCCTTTCGCTACATTTCCAATCTACGGGAGCTACAGTTATATAAGACCTATACCAAAAGCTAAAGCAAGTGGGATGGCAAAGGCAAGGGCTAAGGAATGAGTACAATGCATTCAGAGAATTATTAACTGGTAAATTAGTCTATTC